GATAAAACCACACTGAAACTTTTCTCCACGGTACCAGCAATTCAACCAAAGAGATGGTGCGCTAATGCTCAATGGGCTTCAATGGGTGCCTGGTCTTTTGTGATTTTTGTTCCTTTGGAAATCCACACTACTGCTGGCATAGCCAACTCTTTGGTGGAGGGGAGGGGCGGTATTCTCTACTGCCTAAAGTGAAATAGATTACTGGCAGCCCTTGCCCAAGCAGCTTCACAAACATGCCCACCTTTCAAAACTTACCACATCTCCTGAAGAGCTCTGGCAGTACTCATTTGCAACTGCAAAACTGGCAATGTGTTTTTTTTAATTTAATCACCCCCCCCCCCAAATTCATACTTTCCCGAGGAGCTCAGAGCAATATTTTATCCTGAGAGGCAGATTATGCTGCAAGACAGTGAGCTTCATAGCCGAGCAGGAATTAAAAGCATAGGGCTCTTGCATCCAACCCCAAACACCCTAGACAACGCATGATACTATACAATATTATTCCTCAAGACACTGAATGGAGTGGTGATTATACACACACACGCACACCGGCAACAATTGGTTGCTTCTAAGAATGTAGGGCCAACAGAGGACAAAGAGGGTCAAAATAAAGACAGGAAGCTGGGCTTTAGTTAAATGTCAGTTCTCATTTAATATTTTTATAATCTTATTTTGCAACATTGACCACATAAATCATCTACATAAATAGATGCTGTATAGTCTCTTAAACCATGATCAGTACAAAAATAAAGCCGCACATTGCGTCAATTAGAACTGGCTCTGGCCCACTCATTTGTATCACAATCTCTGTTTGCAGCAGACACTCATTCACAAAAAGGCATTAAAACTTCTTTTTCTCTTTTTTTGACATTATGTTTGGAATCTATTTGCTCCTTCGCACCCTCCCCCTCCCCAAATACATTCAGTTAGTCTGTACAAAAAAAAAATAATAATCCTAGAAGCTCATTCTGTGCAAAGGAAGCGTTCATGTGCAAAGACAACTTGGACAACCATGCCCAGAAGATACCAGCTCAGATATCATGCCAATAAGAAGAAAAATTAAAAAGCAACACCCCAAATATGTTTCTTTCCCCCACTCGTCACAATGACTCTGCCCAATTCCACTCCCAAAGCAAACAATAATCTGTAATCAAACAGTCAGTTCATACTGGTGTCTTCACAAAACAAGCAGTGCAAACAGGAAAGGAGGGAAGACCACAGCTCAGATCCCAGCAACATGACCTGGGCTCCCTCAGCAGTAGATACTTGGCACTAAATAAGCCTTCTTCACAAAACGATTATAATGCCCCATTTTGATTTTTAATAAATCCTTAATTTCATGGTATTTTCCTACTTATAGAACAGCCCATCCCCTCCCCATTAGCAGTTAAAGTATACAACAGTCCTTAAGAAACACCTGATGCATTTCTTCCGTCTGATCCAGGAGTGTCGTAGCCCCACATCCCTAAAATGGTATTAAAGTGCAATTTGTCTAGGGAAAGGGGGTATTCTGAAAAGATGCAATACATATCTATGGGAAAAGATGCTTGGCGTTGCACCTTGACGAAGGCCAGAGGGATCTCTATCAGAAACAAGTTATTGCTAATGCACTGAGCTTGCCATTGAGAAGAAAGAGAGCAGGCTTCTCTTCCAGAACTGAATACCATTCTAAAATCCTCTTCTTGAAACCCACAGCATTATCCAAATATTGTTGCTCTCAAGAAGAGGACTTCAATTCAATTTAAAAAAACCCTTTATTGGCATCAATCAGAATCATAAACAGCCACCCTTCAATTCATGGGTTTAACACACAGCTTCCTCATTATGAGGCAGTTACAGAACTTAGCCACCGCTTCAATAACCTCTATATTTTGTGAAGCCAGTAAACGGTACAACATTCTGTCATCAGATTGCTTGACATCCTTCTTAAGAATAGCTTCTAAATAAAGTGCCCGAATGTCATCATGCAAACTACAATAGAGGAATACATGTTCGATTGTTTAGGAATCGAAGAAGAGGACTTTAGAATGGTATTCAAATTCTAGAAGAGAAAGTCTGCTCTGCTTCTTCTCAATGGCACACTCATGGTGCAGCTAGCCTAAAACTAAAAGGCTAGGTGCACACTGGGGGGGGGGGGGGGAAGTGTAACAGAACACCCTGTAGCCTGAAACTGCAACACTTTTGTTTTACCCAGCGGCTGTTGCTAAGAGCAAGAACAACAACAAATAAACGATCTTGTATTTGTTTCCATACATTTTAAACTGGGTGTGGATTAGTGCAAATATGCAAATGGTGGCCAGCCAAATGCACAGCCAGCCTATACCATCTGTACCACAGGCACATGCAACCACTGGTACAGCAGTGGTGTTGGGTCTAGAGCTGCATCGTTACTTTTTATGTTCTGTCATCCTACAGCTGTGTCAACATAGCCTTAGAAGTCCTTTGGTCAAAATAAGATCAGTATTTAAACAACAACGACCCTCTGATGGATGATATTTTTAATTTCTATGAACTTTGGTGCCACCTCTACATTTCCTTCCTCCTTACCCAAGGACACTGGTTCCATTCCTGCCACCCCATCTGTTATTTCCCCAACTTCAGACCAGAACAGGCCTCCATCCCCACCAAGCAAGCCAGCAACCACAACATTTGGAAAGTTACATTTTCTCCCCTTTTCTATGGGAAATTTCTAAGTAGGCAAGTGACTTTTGTCTCTTTGCAAGCAAGAGTTCAGATTCCTGCTGTCATTTTCTTTCTGGACTGTGCTCACTTTGTGAAACTTTTCTGGTTCAGAAAACTTGCACTGCAATTTCTATAATTACAGAAATCATGAGAGAAAGGGCTGCCTTTTCCAAGGGAATTTGTTTTCCTTAAGAAAGGGAAGTGTTATGTCTCATTCCTTTATCAACGCTGTTCCACCTTATCTCACCACTTCCAAGCAAATTACCAGACTATTGTTCTACACCTATTTTTTGATCCACCATTCATTTTGGATGAAGGCAGATGCATTTCTGAAGAGTGTGACCAGGTAAAGAAAAACAGCAAAGCCAGCTCTTCATAAAAGAGTGGGGCTGAAGAAAAGACAGACTCTCTTTCCTATAACCAAAAGGCTCACATCGAGATAACATGTCCTTAGAGCATAACAGACTGCAGAGTGTATGCAGGAAATTCTTCCAACCTACACTGCTCCACACTGCCCTTTCAAGGCTGCAATCCTATGGATCACTACCTAGGAGTAAGCCCCACTGAACACAATGGGACTTATTTCTGAGTAAACACACATAGGACTGGGCTGCATATTATACAAGAGAAATATTCCTGTCCCTAGCATTGCATTAATTGCTTTTCCTGTACTTATTCATCGTTCTACTCTGTATAGCTTAAGGCCAGTGCTTCTACAAATAACATTCAGTGCCAACATAAAGCATTAATACTTCCAAATTTTCTCTGATACAAGTTACTAGAGAATGCTATACACATATAGCATTCATACACTCACAGTGCAATTATAAGCTGTTTTACCCTTCAAAGTCCATTAAAGTCATGAAATAACATGCATGCATTTCCTCTCTTTATATACACCATAGTCCTGTTTTATGCCAAAAGATGCTCCACGGCAAAACCAACTGTTACTGTGTAAACATAAGGCTCATAGAAAGAATTGCTCAACATTAAAAAAGGAGTTCATTCTTTGTAAGCATTACATAGTTCTTTTAGAGAATGTTGGGTTTGGACTAATCACTTCAGCATAATTTTATAACTATAGTTGTGCCTGGGAGCTACAGATCTGATTACCTGCATAACAACACCAAACTTCCCTCTGACAGTGTAACAAGGGGATTACTAAACTGAAATAAATTAATTCAATCCTGTAGCAGTGTAAGGTCAGAAAGAATCTTCTTCCAACATACTATCCCATGATG